AAATGGCCGAGGTTAAGAAATGTATTCATGCTTTTGAATCTTCATCCGACCTGGAGGTTGATGAAAAACAAAAAGCAGCAATTGGAGAAACTATAATGGGCCTTTTACTGAAGCTCGACACCATTCAGGTATGTGTACAAGTAATATTAGGGCAAAACTAGACTTAGGCAACCCAATGGTGTCCAGGTTGGGTCTGTCATTATTAGTATTCTGGTACTTGCATATCTTTAGTCAGTGTACATCACTATGTCTCTTTGACACACGCATAGCATTTATTATCTGCATCACACATGATTTTTGAGCTTTTCGCAATTAAAATTGGTTGATACTGATTTGCAAAGCATTTTGATGGCTCTCTTGGAGTTGAATTTTTCTTTTTGGCTTCTTAGTTTCTGGAATTATCAGAAATTGATATTCGAACCTAACTTTATATCTCTTCAATTTGTCAGGGATTGCACCCGAGCATCAGGGATGTTAGGAAATCTGTGGCAAGGGAGCTTGTGAGCCTACAGGAGAAGCTTGATTCTCTAACTATGAAGAAAATTCAACAACCCATTGAGCAGGCGGCCAAACCTGTGGAAGATTTTCCCAGTGAACCCTTGAATGAAGCTTGCATTCAAGGAGGACAAGAGGCAAAAGTGGAACCTGAATTTTCTGAGAGTGGAATTAGTAACAAGACCGAATCTGTAGAGCAATGTCAAGGTGAGCTTCTCCTCATAGCAGATGGCGTGTCTGGCTCCAAAGCTGCGGAAACTTCAGGGGCAACCTTTGTTGATAAAGAAGTGTGTGGGGATCTGAAGGACAGGGCCATGGAGTTACAAGTGACGAGGTGTGTAAGACTCCAACGAGGAAGCATTGGAGACACTGATGGAACCAAAAGATGAGCAGAGAAATGAAGTGCTTGATGTTTGTCAAGTTCCATTCACAGATAATCATGAATATTTGGAGCTTGAGCCATCTATTGAGCAGCCACTTCCGTCAGCTCTGGAAGAGAAGATCAATTGTCCATTGGAGGTGGCACTATCCTCTTACCTGGTAGATGACTCAATTCATATTGACAAAGGTATACAAAATGTAATAGGTCAAGATTCTGAGGTTCGGGAGTCTCACAAGTGTGAGTTGGATGTGAACGAGTTGGCAAAATTACCCCAAGAAGTATTTGATGAAAATCCTGAAGTTCAAGAGTTGGAGAATTACAGGCCGACTGAGACAGGGAAAGATGCAGCCCTCCAAGGTGGATTAGTTTATTCACAAACAGCAGTTGACACAAGTTCGCCCGATATAACTCAAGTAAAACAGCAGCCACAGGAAGCACTGGAGGAAGGGCTAGTCCCTGCAGCAATGGTGGATTAGTTTGAATCAGAGAAAGGTGATGACAAAGTCCTTGTGGAATCTGGGGCTGAATCACTGCAACACTCACAAGAAGACCAAGGGAAAACAGCTTATGTAGAGGAGCTTGTGAAAGTTTGTGAAGCGGAGTAGGAAATGCTTAGATTAGACAAGGAAGAGAATTTCACTGGGGATGCCAGCCTTTTAGCTCAGGAAATTGAACCAGGAGGAGAGGTCCTTCACGATAATGAATCTGCAGAAGCTCAACGAGAGATCTCATTCAAGCAAAATGAAAATTATGATGCAACACACAAAGACGATGGAATGACTGCTGTTGACAGCACTGATTCGGGTTTGCAATGTACAGCTTCTCTCTCTCAAGAGTTGGAAGTGCTTGTTGGAACCAAGGAATGTACAATGGAGAAAAAGACAGCAGTTGAAGAGGAGCAAGAGCTGCAGGATGGCAAGCTTGAATCTCACGAGTTAGAATTACCGATTGGAAAAAATGAGAAGATTAACCCGTCTTTTGACTCAGGCGAGGCCGTAGAGGACTTGTTTGCTCCTCCAGCTAGTGCTAAGCAAGCTGAAGAGGCAGAGGTTTCCCCTATGTCTCCAACTGCTAGCCAGGTTTCTCTTGGAAGTGAATTAATGGTGGAAAATGATAGAAAGCTAATTGAAGAGAACGACAAGTTGAGGGAGATGGTGGAGAAGCTGATTGAAGCTGGGAAACAACAGCTAACTGCCATTTCCAAACTCTCAGGAAGAGTCGAAAACTTGGAGAAGAGACTATCTAAGCAAAAGAAATTGAAGATGAGACGACACAAAGTTCCTTTATCCAGGTCTTCGTGTCTTTAATCGTCCAATGATCCGCTGAAAGAGGCAGCTGTGGGATTGACATCGTGATAAATATCATCCTAATTTTTTTTTTCTTGGATGTAAACGAGTGGGTGTAATGTTGGGGTTGGATTTCATTGCCTGTTTTAAGTTGTGTGTAATAATTGTCTATTCTGTAATGTATAATAAATCATGGGTCTTGGTGCATTCGTAAGACAGTTTTATTATTTTGATTCTCCGAGGATGATGCTTGCAAATCTTAAGACTAACAGAAAATAAAAAAGATCATAACACTTCGTTTGCCTAGCAATTGTTCAAAGAATTATACTAGCTACAATTAAAGCCAATGTCTTGGTCCGTCACAACTAGTTAAGCCCCACTAACTATCAAAAAGTTTACATGAACATAAAAAGATGCCCACTAAGTATCAAAAAGTTTACATCAACATAAAAAGATGCCCACTAATTATCAAAAAGTTTACATGAACATAGATGTTGTATTGTAATTTAATGTGAGATTTCTCATATTGTAAATAAAGTTGGTAATTAAGTTGACTCGACTTATATATATATAAAATAGTTGAATTACTTGAATTTAACTTATTTTTAAAATAAATTTGAACAATTTTTTAGACTAGTTTAATAGACTCGATTCAAATTAACAAAATTGATTTGATTATTAACTTTAATAATTGGTGCAAACAATTTTATATCTATATTTTCTGTAATGCATGACACAAGGGTTACATTGAAATTTGCATAGACATTGATGGTGTAAATCAACGTGGTGCAATTTTGTGATATTAAACAGATGAGATGAGCAGTATATGACTATTACAATCTAAGCGGCAAGGCTCAAAAGAACAAGAATTGGTATCAAGGGGGAATTTGGGGGTTGACACAATGAAAATATAATGGTTTACCAGTTCGAAAATTTGTCTAATCCACTCTTTAATAGAGGCTTTTGCTCTTTTTTTTTATATATCATCCGAAAGGTTTACAAGACTGATTGTATGTTACTCGGGTCCCCCTCTCTTGGAGGCGTCACATATTATTTATAAGATTATCCCTAGTTATGCGGGATCTGCACCGAAATCTTTGCTATTTATCCGAGAAACTCTCCTTGATTTTAAGAGAGAATCTTGACAAGTTAAGGATTTTGGCCTTGAATATGACTCTTTGTCACCTGTAAGATTTTTGTTGTCATTCAATTGTTTTCTTATCATTTCTATTATTGTCATGTCTGAGAGAAGTTCTATCTCTGATCATTTGAACTCTGCGTGTCTTCTCTAATCTCTTAGTCTGATCTCTATGCTTGAGCTCATACTTAAAAATTATTCTAAGTAGCATCGGACATGATTCTTACGATTTAGTATTATGTGATCTTAGTTTCCAAGTTACCAAAAAATATAAATAAAGAATGGAAGTATTGAAAAATTTTAAAAAATAAAAAAAGTGAAGGAAACCACTTTGGGCTTGGATGCAGGGCCAGGATCGGCAAACATGCGAGGAGTCCAGCCTATTTACAGCTGGCCAAGGGAGCCGAAGACCACCCATAATTGCCCCCTAAAATCCTAGGGCCTAGGCCGGTACTGCCTACTGGCAAAACAGACGGGGAGAGAACTCACTTCAAATCTCTCTCTTTCTCTTCAATGCTTAGTGTCCTTCGTTGGTTTTTGAATTCTTCCATTCTTGAATTGAATCGGAGTCGCTTATTCCAATCACCGGAAAACAAAGAATTCAAGAAGGTTGGGTGATAAATGTATCCCAGTATGCAAATATGTATTTAGAAGGAGAAAATAAGCTTTAAAGGAAGTGAGCGAGAGAGAGAGGGAGACGCACATGGAAGGCGAGACTCAGATTCTAGAGATTAGCTTGATGTCCGCTCAAGATCTAAAGACCCCCTCCGCTAACTTGCACAGTATGCAAACCTACGCACTCATCTGGATCGAACCCTCCTTAAAGCTCCGTACCCAAATTGATCGACTTGGAGGCGAAAACCCTACTTGGAATGACAAATTCCTCTTTCGAGTCGACAAAGACTTCGTCACCGGCGAGACCTCCGCCGTGTCTGTCGAGATCTACGCCGTCGGTTACATCAAAGATAAACTCATCGGCACTGTCCGTTTCCTTCTCAGTAGCTGTCTCCAAGGCGGTGCTTCTGTCACCGGAATCGGAATTCCAGCGTTTACTGCCGTTCAAATCCGCCGTCCCTCTGGCCGATTTCACGGCGTTCTCAATATCGCTGTTACAGTGTATAAAAGCTCCGATTTTACAATCTTGGACGGTTTATCGGCGATATGTTTCCGTGATTTGATGAAGCGAGAGAATGATCGCCGCTGGCGAAGGCTGAGTCGCATTGGATCGAAGAAGAGTGAAAAATCCTCTGGTGGTGAGTCTTGTGACTTTTCTTGTGGAGACTCGATTGACTTGGATTTCTCAGACGGTGGTGACTCGACGTCGTCGTCGTCGTCGACCACATCAACGGTGTTGAAGGAGTGGAACGGCGGTGCTGGGAGGGCAGAAATGGCGGGAAAGAAGGACTTGAAATCTGACGGCGGAGGATCGCTGTGCTGGTTAATGTTACAGAGGAAGATCCATTTAAGTCCATCGGATCAGAATATTCAGTTTTGGGCTGAATCGCTGGAAAAGAAGCATTGATGGACGATCCATATAGGTTGTGAGAAGAAATGAACGGTCGAGATCATCCAAAGAAGGAGGCGATCTGGTGCTATTGAACATAGTGGTAGTGAGGTGATTTTTTTTGTAGCGATAATGAATATTTCTCACATTCATTTTGTGCTACTTGTAATTTTTGTTGGAGCTATGTAGAGAAGGATGACAATTTTTTAAAGAAGAAAAAGCATTGTTGTCTCACGTTTTTAGATTTATAGTTACAATGTAAATTCATTATTTTCATGCTTATTCATAAATCACGTAGGCTGGATTAACGAAAATAAATTATATGGCATTTGAATTTAAAAACTCGATGTAATAACTTGTGGGTAAATTTGTACGTTGTGCTCTCATGAGCATGAGTGTGCTTAGACTCGACCCACAAGTCTAAATAGCTTTGCTCATATTTGATAAGTTTAATTTTCAACCTAAATATTCCAAAGATTACACCATGGAATACTCGTCATTTCATTAAATTCTCAAGAATATACAACATGAATTATGAAATTAAATATATAACTTCATAAATCTCAAGTTTTGTAAAAAAATTAGTTTCATGGTGATGTTATTGAAAGTATTGGTAGTTGCGGTGGTGATGGTAATTTTCTTCAACTTCAAGAGCAAGATTTATTGTACCTCGTTTAATTTGAATTTCGTCAACGACGTGATTGAGGTGATCATCCAAGTATGTAATACACCCCATTCCCACATAACCAACAATTCATAGCCAATCTGCCTCTAAAGGCATTAGTATGATATGTATTATTTCTCCATAATAGGACTTAGTTTTAGTTTGTTTTCAATAAATGGTTGTAACTTCTTCCACATTTTGTGTCACAACCTGTTGCTATTTTTCAGTTGTTTCCCTTTGTGAATTCTCACTTGGCTTATAAATAGCCTAGGAGCTGTGGAATAAGATATGCAGAAAATAACTCCAGATTTCTTCCCTTCTCTGACCCTCTGTTTTTCCTCTTCTTGACCAGTCAGTAGCTCTGCTTATCAAATTACGTACCATTTGGTCAACCACCTCCAACTCTCCTTTCTTACATTCCAGGCACAACAAAAGTTCAAGCTGTAGATGACCTTTTGCGCAGCCGTGATGAAATTCTCCGTGTCTTACGTCGGAATTTGACTGTTGCCCGTGACCGCATGAAGTCCCAAGCTGACCAACATCGTCAGGAAGTTGTTTTCGAGATTGGTGACTATGTCTACCTCAAACTTCAGCCGTACAGGCAGAAGACAGTAGCTGTCCGCAGCTCCATGAAGCTCTCACCTCGATTCTTTGGTCCTTATAAGATCCTTGCACGAGTTGGACCAGTGGCTTACAAACTTGAATTACCGGCGGCTTCCCAAATCCATGACGTTTTCCATGTGAGTCTTTTAAAGAAACACATCGGCTCTGTCACTTCTGCCTCCCCGCGCCTGCCTCCTATCTCTGACGCATCTGAAATTCTTCCTCAACCTGAAGCTGTGTTGGACACCCGTGTCATTCAAAGAGGCCTTTACCAACCCAAAACCGAGATTTTGGTTAAATGGAGGGGTGCACCCGTGGAAGACGCCACTTGGGAAAATCGTTGGCGTTTTTTTGAAGACCTACCCTGCTTTTATCCTTGCGGACAAGGATACTGTAAGAGGGGAGGAATGATATGTATTATTTCTCCATAAGACTGGGTAAAGCGCCTGAGCATCTTCAGCCTTAAGAATAGGACTTAGTTTTAGTTTGTTTTCAATAAATGGTTGTAACTTCTTCCACATTTTGTGTCACAACCTGTTGCTATTTTTCAGTTGTTTCCCTTTGTGAATTCTCACTTGGCTTATAAATAGCCTAGGAGCTGTGGAATAAGATATGCAGAAAATAACTCCAGATTTCTTCCCTTCTCTGACCCTCTGTTTTTCCTCTTCTTGACCAGTCAGTAGCTCTGCTTATCAAATTACGTACCATAGTAATTGGCCACTACCAACACCAAGTCTACCGTCCATCAATACAAATTGAAACAGAAATTGGTATCACACTTGATGGATCAGTTCTAGGCACGAACCACGGATGTTGGGGTTCGTGATAGGCTCGTAGGGGTGAGGAATGAACAAGGCTCTGAAGGTCGAGTCTTCTGTGATAATAGCCGAATCTCCTCCGATCAATAATCGGATAAATGTGTAAGTGGAAAATTTGAAGGAAGAAACTGAGGGGTTGAGCAAGCTTGGGTTCCTCTTTTTTTTCTTTTTTAACTTATCATTTTTCCTCATTTATGAGAGGTACTTATAGGGGACTTTGAGTGTGGACTTCAGTCTTCGAGACAAGTGATGAGTTATTGAGGGTTTGAGACGGAAATTTATTGTCACTTGGTCAATTTCATAAGTGTGTGTAAGTGATTCATCAGACGAGTTAGGTGAGTTTATCCATCGTACCGTATGTCAGGAGCATGTCATGCAGTGCTTTGTAATCAGTGTATATCACCGGACATGCACTCTTCTTTTACTGTCTGTCGAGGAGATGGTTATCCCTGATCAATATCTTAACCTATGGTGATAATGTTCAACTGATTTTCCTTTGGCCCTTATATTCGAATTGTATCGGTAAACACTAACATATATATCTCCCATAAGAGATCTCTCTCTCAAAACAATTTTTTGCCATCTTTTTGGATCTATCTGCCAGGTGTTCTTTAGTCGGAAACAAACTCTGGGTAAGGGACGTTGTACAATTTCAGAAATTTCGAAGACGGTATATAATAATTCTCAATAAACCATAAAGGGAGGTCAATAGGAGTATAATTTTTCCTTTGGCAGTTTCAAAATAGCCCAGTACCACAGAAGGTACCAAATGATGCGCATGGCCCAAGTACCCTTGGCAGAAAATAAAGGTTTGGGCTGGTTTTCAGCTGGCCTAAGGCTAGCTTTTCCAAGTCTTTGGGCCAGTAGGCCAGGCCTTCAATATGCAAAGTAGTTTTGTTATGATATAAGAATTTTTTGTTTGGTGGACATGAATTAGCCGTTCATAACTTGGAAAAATGAAAAAAGATGGACCCATGGGTTGGGCCAGAACCATCAACCCAAGGATTTTCCAAAATTAATTTTTTTTGAATAGAGTGGATAAAATTAAATAAAAAATATATTAATTTCAATCGCTGTTTTATTTTTATTAATTTATAATTCAAAGTAGTAATTATAATATTGGGTAGATAGTACAAAAAGTCGCGTAAAATGCCTATTGTTGAGCCTGTGAGAGTAGGCATGGGAAACAAGAGACATAGAAGGAAATCCCCCAAGGCACGGAGGAGACATCCTGGAGGCGGGCGTAGCATAGGCATAGCAGCATTACAGGCCACGGCTCAATTGTATGATTGATTGATTCAACCTTCCGATTTCGACGTGCTCATTTATAATTGACGGTCCTTGCAAAACATTGATACGGTCATGAGGATCTTAATTGTTATTAATTTTAATTTTAACAATTAATAATTATTAATTTTAACATGTGATGCATTTTTTTATTAATTAAATAACAAAGGCATGGTACAATTTCGACATCATAATATAACACGGGTTAAAATTGACTGGGGTGCAATAACAGGGAGAGTCTATGTACCGATTTTTAATTATTTAATTTAACTTTAAATAATTATAACCTTATTTTTAAAGATAATAATTTTATTTTTAATTGTTGTAACCCCACTTTCAAAATAGTAACCTTACATTTAATAGTCATGATCGATCATAATTAATTAAGATCGATTCCAATACCAATTTTTTTTTTTTGCTATTCAACTCAATTAAGATTTATCATGATTAATTAAGATCAATCCTAAAGCCAAATTATTAGTATTTTTTTTTTTGGGGATTCCACTCAATTAAAATCTATCATAATTATTTAGGATCTATCCCAATGCCATTTTTTTTTTTTTTGTTATTCCACTTAATTAAGATCTATCGTGATTATCTATGATCTATCACACTACCAAATTATAATTTTGAATGTTAATTTAATGTTATTTTTGATAAATTGAGTGTTAGTTGGATAAAATAAAAAATAAAAAATAAAATTAACTTTTAAAAATTAATTTAATTTTATGTTAATTTAAAAGGTAATGTTATTTTTAAATTGACATGTAATTTCATAAAATTAATTAACATTTTATGAATTAATGTTAATTTTATGAATTTTAAATTAATGTTAATTTTATGAATTTAAAAATTAATGTTATTTTTTATTTTATCCAATTAACACTCAATTCATCAAAAATAACATTCAATTGTATTAAATTAACATGCAAAATTATAAATTTAAAATTCATAAAATTAACCTAAAATTTCATAAAATTACATGTCAATTTAATGTAAAAAATAATAATTTGACATTAGGATCGATCTTAATTGAGTGGAATTGCAAAAAAATAATAATAATAATTTGACATTGGGATATATCCTAGATAATCATAATAGATCTTAATTGAGTGAAATAGCAAAAAAAAAAAATGGCGTTGGGATAGATTCTAAATAATCATGATAGATCTTAATTGAGTGGAATCGCAAAAAAAGTACTAATAATTTGGCTTTAGGATCGATCTTAATTAATCATAATAGATCTTAATTGAGTTGAATAGCAAAAAAAAAAAAAAAAATTGGCATTGGGATTGATCTTAATTAATCATGATCGATCATGACTATTAAATGTAAGGTTACTACTTTGAAAGTGAGGTTACAACAATTAAAAGTAAAATTATTATCTTTAAAAGTAAGGTTATAACTATTTAAGGTTAGGTTATTGCCTTTGATTGTGAAGTTATAATAATTTAAAGTTAAGTTACAAGTAATAAAGGTAAAATTACCACCTAGATGTGAGATGAGGTTACCACATCTTAAGGTGGATTTACCATCGTTTTTCAGCCGTCGTTACCACACCTTAGGGTGGATTTACAACTATTTTTCAACCACCGTTTTTTTTATTCACCATGGCCCACCACTAACCAGGTGATACGGTACCGAAAAACCATTATTCGGTACCATAGACATTCCCGCAATAATATTATCATGTCATTATTAATATGTTTTTTCTATCACACTCTTGGAGCCTGTTTATTTTTTGGGTTTGAGGATTGATGTGTAAAGTTTAGAAAAAAATAGTTTAAAGGACTTTTAAATTGTATGTTTGGGCTAAAATTCTA